ACGAATAATAAAGTTTCTTTTTTCCGTTTTGAAAGGTAGGTGAGTTGATTTCTTGATAATTAAGGTCAGACGACACGTTCCTCAAATATATGTTTTGTATTTCTTAGTATTGTATGAAAAATTGTGCATAACTTTCATTCTCTTTGGATTTCTACACTGTTTTCAATATGTTTTTAAATATAAGTACACCAAAAATTCTGATAAAGACCATTCAGAATATTACCCATATGGGATAAATAAAAAATAACACCTTGTGGTATCTGGACCAAATGTCTGGTAAGGTACACTAATTTTTTGTGAAGAAACTTGCTTAAGTACATACACTTCAGTGGCAAATTCTTGGGAAAAATTATATATTTTTGAGGAACGTGTCGTCTGACCTTAAACCTGATTGTGAATTTCATCAAGTGAAAGGTCAAGTGCCTGATATGCATATCGGTCCCGTGCGTCTGTCTTTAGGTCTGACGTCAGTGGTGGGATCTACTGAAATTGACAAGGGAAGCCTCATGTATTTTAGATCTGTAAGCAAGTATTTGTTCATGTATATTAACAATTTCATTTGTTGCCTGCGTGGGGCAGCGGTAAGAGCGTCTGTTTTAGAGTCGCAGCGTAAGGAGTTAATCCTTACGTCGCTGGTTCCAATCCCACTGTGGGACGTGGAGACCGGTTCTTCGGATGAGACCGCATAAATCGAGGTCCCGTATCGCAGTAGGTGCTGGCACGAAAAAAATACCTCACAGCTTCATGGCAAAAATTTGCAGTTCTTCATCGGCAAGTTGAGGCGTCTCCATATGAGTAAAAAAAAATTCTAGAGGGACTCCTTATTTTCCGACTCTAGATTAGACAGTGTACCATTGCTCCACACGAGCGACCTGTAAAAGGTATTCGCATATCTAGGTCTATTTTCATGGGTCAATAGATCCTCTGTCGTCGGATAATTAAAGGCTTCACACAAAGATGTGTTTAAACATTTATTTTCATTGACAATTTAGGAACTTCCGAAAGAATTTTTCAATTATAGTACACGATTCAATGGAAACTTAATTTTTGTAATTAAAGCCCATAGGTACTTTTCCTGTCATCGTAAAATATTACAGAATTTGAACTTCTTTATTTTATTTTTTATAGCAATTAGGACACAAAAAAGACAATTCTATCAAATAAGAAAAGAAATTAAAATTAGATTCTAGAAGGCAATATACAGCAGTTTGAATAAATGCACATACAGGGTGTCCCATAATATATGATACCATTTTAAATTATTGTCAGAAACGCGGGTCTTGACCAATTTCTTTGAAATTTGTCTCATTAAATATTTGAGTAATTACAATTTTAGCAAAAAAAATATCAGTTAAAATTTTTCACATAGTCGGAGTAATATAGCCACATAATTACGTCAAAAAATTGCTAAATATTGTTTGAAGCAAAATTGATTTATCAAATAAGCTAGGTACCCTCATTTCAAAACTGTAATTATCAAATTCAGTCTTAAGATATTCTTACTAAACCTAAATCTTAATCTTTAATTTATCTAAAAAGGTATATATCCAATGAAAATTTAGATTATAACTTAGGAAAAACGCATTGTTGTCTTAAGTTATGGAATTTTATGCAATGTCTAGACATGATCATTACCCAGATTGGACGTCATTTTCAGGTCATTTGTTAAAAACAATAGTATTTTTCAAAGTGAACTCATTTTTCCGCGTTCCTTTCATTGTCCATAAAATTTTGTGAATAAAATTGGACAGTATATGCAATGTTTATAGTGTATTTATTTCTTGTCATTTAATATTCATTACATTATATTTTATATATTCATGAAATGGTATCATATATTCTGGGACACCCTGTATATACACATCATATTGATAACGTTAAAAAACACATTTGAAATCTGGGTAAATAAAAAAAACCCACTAAAAAACCTGTAAGTAAGTGATGTCTTCAGAGGAACCCTTTACATGGACATTGCAAAAGTACGAATTAACGTGACAGCACTAGGGTTTTTAACAGGGGACCCAGGAACAACATCCTCACCTGAGCAAAAACTGAGATAGTCAGTTCAGTATTGAAAAGTATAAATATGACCAATCACAGCTTCATTATTCTCTAGAAGATTTTGAAAGATTCTTTCTAAAGTATGTAAAACTTTGATCGCTAATTGTGGCCCCACCCTACCCTAGGGTTCATGATTTGAGGAAAATTAAATCTAAACTACCCGAGAATGCTTCCATATGAATATGACCAACCAGAACTTTTATGTTCTGAAAAAGATGTTTAAAGATTTCTTCTAGGTATTCCTTTGTTAAACTTTAATGGCCCATTCTGGTCCCACCCTGTCCCCGAGGGTCATAATTTGAACAAGAGGCCCATGGGTGACATCGCTCACCTGAGCACATGGGCAAGTTAAAAACACAAATCAGCTTAGTATTGAAAAGTTTACTTGTTGGGGGAGGGGGATTTGAATTCTTAATTTCTTGAGAATGTCACCATATCAATAAAGCATACATGTATTATTTCGCCATACTTGAGAAGAAGAGTTTTAAAGATTTTTCCTATATATTTCTATGTAAAGATTTAATGGTCCATCATGGCCCCAAGGATGAGGGTTTGGCCCTTCATTTGAACAAACTTGAATTCCCTTTAACCAAGGATATCTATATTTTATGCCAAGTTTGCTTGAAACTGGCCTAGTGGTTCTTTAGAAGAATGTGAAAATGTGAAAACTGTACAACGACAACGACGACAGATAAATATTTTGGTCTTGTTTTGACGTCACAATGTAAAAATGACAAAAAATGGTTGTCCCAGTCGTACTCGTTCATTGAACGGCTGTAAGGTTTAAGGTATATCTTGGAACTTCCTTTTCAGTATCATATTATAAATTTTACAAAGTTAATTAAGATAAAAGGCCCAAGGGCCACATCGCTCACTTGAGCTCTGGCTATTTTTAACTAAAAGCAAAAATCAGTTCAGTATTGAAAAATTTAAATATAAAAGTGGGTTCAAGTGGGATCATGATTTGAACAAACTTGAATCTACACCACATGAGGATGCTTCCATATAACTATAACCAATCATGGCTTTGCTGTTCTTGAGAAGAAAAATTTTAAAGATTTTCCTTATGTATTCCTATGTTAAACTTTGACCCCCATTGTGGCTCCATCCTACCCCCGGGGGTTATGATTTGAACAAACTTGAATTTACACTACCTGAGAATGCCTCCACATGAGTTTCATCTTTGCTGGTCCAGTGGTTCCTGAGTAGAAGATTTTTAAAGATTTTCTCTATGTATGATCATGTTAAACTTTGACCCCCCCATTATGGCCCCAGTACCCCTGGGGGTCATGATTTGAACAAACTTGAATTTACACTACCTGAGGATGCTTCCAAATGAGTTTTATCTTTGCTGGTCCAGTGTTTCTTGAGAAGATTTTTAAAGATTTTCCCTATGTATTACTATGCTAAACCTTGACCCCCCCATTGTGGCTCCATCCTACCCCCGGGGATCATGATTTGAACAAACGTAAATCTGCACTACCTGAAAATGCTTCCACATGAGTTTCATATTTGCTGGTCCAGTGGTTCATGACAAGAAGATTTTAAAGATTTTCCCTATGTATTCCTATGTTAAATTTTGACACTCCCCATAATGGCCCCACCATACCCTTGGGCTCATGATTTGAATAAACTTGAATCTACACTACCTGAGGATGCTTCCACATGAGTTTCATATTTGCTGGCCCAGTGATTCTTGAGAAGATTTTTAAAAGAGGCCATTAATTTTTCACTAATTCATAAGTATCTCGCCTATATATTTGAACAAACTTGAATCCCCTTCAGCCAAGATTACTTTGTGGCAAGTTTGGTTGAAATAGGCCTAGTGGTTTTTGAGAAAAAGATCAAAATGTGAAAAGTTTACAACGACGCCAACAACAACGACTTCAACAACAACGACGACGACGACCACAGACAACGGACAAATTTTGATCAGAAAAGCTCACTTGAGCCTTCGGATCAGGTGAGCTAACAAAGTTGAATCAACACTACCTGACATCTATGCTTCCATGTAAAGATAGCTAATCACATCTTTGATGTTCATGAGGAGATTTTAAAATATTTTTCCTTTGTATGGTATCTTATGTTAACATTTGACCGCCCATTATTGCACCACCCTATATCCGGGAGTCATGATTTGAACAAACCTGAGTCTTTACCACCTGAGGATGCTTCCATATAGATATGACTAATTATGGCTTTAAAGAAGAAGATTTTTAAAGGTTTTCCCATGCAAATTTTTTTATGTAGATCTGATCGGCCATTGTGGTCCCATCCTAACCCCCGGGGATCATGATTTCAACAAAGTTTAATCTACTCGACCGGAGGACGATTCCATACGTAAATATGATCAATCACAGATTAGCTGTTTTTGAGTAGTTGTTTTCTTTAAATTGCTTTGTTATATATTCCTATGTAAAACTTTATCCATCCAGTGTGATCCACCCTACACCCGGAATTCATGATTTGAACAAATTTGAATCAATTCTTCCTAAGGATGATTCCATATAAATATGACCAATTACAGCTTTGCTGTCCTTGAGAAGAAGATTTTTAAAAAAAATTTCCTACATATTCCTCTGAATTAAAACTTTGATCTCCTATTTCTGCCCCAACCTATACCCGGGGGGTCGTGATTTGAACTAATTTGAATCTACACTACTTCACGACATAGGTTTCATATTTTCAGGGACAGTGGTTCATGAGAAGTAAATGTTAAACGATGCCAAAATTTTCATGAAATCTTAATCGTTTTCCCTTGGAAGAAGACAAGGCCCTTTATTTGAAAACCTGGCATTCCTGTTACCCAAGGATACATTCCGGCAAGTTTGATTGAAATTGGCCCAGTAGTACTTGAGACGATGAAAATGTGAATGCAGCAACGGCAGACAACAACGCTCTAATTATGTATTGAATTTTATATTGCAAAAAAAGTTTTTTCCCAAAATAGAGCATGATATTTGAAATATTGCTGAAACACATAACAATTTATTGTATATAGTATTACATTACTTAAAATTTTAGGTTTTGAATGTAACATGAACAAAACAAAATTGAGAGAACTTTAAATTAAAAACTAGAAGTTTTAGATTTTGAATTCAAGGGATAGAACTGTGCAGCGAAGTAGATGAGCTACGTCATTCTTCTCTGTCTGGGTGGAATTGAGGGTTCAAAGTATGTACTATCGACCTCAAATGCTTTGTTTGTGTACACCTGATCTGGAGCCTCGTTCGTTTTATTATCTTTTTCAAATACATTTTCGTCGTCGAGTGGACGCACATTTAAGGATGTATCTAAAACGAGATGAATTCCTTTAAAAAAAATCACAGCAATTTTACACTTGATATAATATTTTTAATGAAAAAAAACACACCAGCAATTGATAGTAACTGTTCATTTGTCTAAAATAAACATTTTGATGGATTAAAATACAATACCCTTTTTGGCTTTTCGACGTCGTATTACTCCAAAGATAGCAAATATAGCCACAGAAGCAATCAAAACTAACATAGCCAGAACAGTGATAGATACAACGCCTGCAGTTGATATGCTTGATTCTTCCTTTTGAGACTGCTGGTTAGCAAAGACGGGTGTTTGTTGGGAATGACAGGGGAACCGTTGGACGGCCATGTGAAGCAAGCTATCTAATGCTGGCATATTCTGTTCGTACATTATTTTATTCATGGCCATCACGTCAGTTGTGATAGTTATGGTGCTGATCAAAGACCTTATTCGAGTATTCTGAAACTTCAGCCCTTCAACTTCGTCAGAAGTCATCAGATAATTTTGGATATATCCCTCATCCACTATGCATCTTCTTGCGTTTGGATCAATAGTGATTTCTGTTCTATAATTCTCTTTGAGGAATGGTTTTTCTATTTCCTCAAAAATTCTATCGAAATTCGATCCATTTTGTCGAGTTGTTACAACTCTTAAGAATGGATAACTCTGGAGTTGGTTCTCACTGCGTCTTAGCTCCCATTCCTCGGCAGAGTTATCCTGTGGCTTTTCCTCCACAAGAGCACTGGGACAACCTCTTATCAGAAGGTTTTCAACACTTTCTCCAAAATCTGCAACGTTCTCCACAAATACTTTAATGGCAGATAAGTACATTTTTGGGAATTTAATGTTAATTGCCTTTATTTTTTCTCTGTTGGGATCTCGAATTATGTCCTGTAGTTGCTGGAAACTTGAACTATTTCTACTTATATATTCTACCCTGAAGTTATTTGCTTCAAATTCTTTTTTCGTCCTGATTATAATATTGGTAATCATGACATCTACAGCGAAAGATACAAAGTAACTGTTATTCAGGTTGATTCTCACACCTAGCCTGCCATTGTCAGGGAAGATGATACCATTGCAGTCTGAAAGTGTCAAAGAAAATAATGTTAACCTGAAGCTTAGCTGTAAATGGAATAGGATAAATAAAGTATTTGAACATTTTCAATTTTTGACAATTGATCATCATTCGCATCCTCTGAGACCTGATTTAATCTTGTGTGGTGCAGGTTCTTTTTCTTCTATGGTGACCATTCGGTTTCTGTTGGACAGAAGATGTGACACTGGTTGACCCCAAAATTTCTTTCTATTAATAGCAGAAACTATCTCTACATAAACACTGTCCTGGCGTCTGACGACACTTCCGGCTGGGTGGCTCTTACTATGGAATGAAAACTGGGCGGGGTATATGTCAATTTCTGAAGAAAGAAACCGCCTGTTTAATCACGGAGTAATGTAGTATTATATCGTATAAATCAAAAATCTAAGTAACCAGAAAAAATAAAAATACACATGTACAGCAACAGTTATTACTATTTTAAACCAATAATATCAACTACAAATTCAGTAAACGTTTGATTGATTTTTTTTTACATACTAAGTACTGGTAGCTTGTCTCATATCGCTTTTAATAAAACAAAATTCAAAAATCGTTGTTACCCGTATTCATTTTAAAGGTAATTGAAATAAAAACTTTACTAACTGCAAAGATTTCTATTTTACATGATTTGAAATATAGTCTTATTTTGTTAAAAAGGGACATGCTTTTATTATATAATTTTTAAATTGTATATACGTGTACTAATTTTTTAAGGCAATTAATCTTTGATTTTAATAAGACTTATTTGTGTTATTTACTAATTTTTAAAAAAATTCATGTTTTCTATTCTTATAACATTGTCTTTGTTATTTTTCAACTACAGCGGTGGTCTAGAGAGAGAGAGAGAGAGAGAGAGAGAGAGAGAGAGAGAGAGAGAGAGAGAGAGAGAGAGAGAGTAGTTTTATGTTTGGTTGAGTTTTATTGTGTTATTGGCATTCCCCGTATAAGAAAAATTATCCAATTGCAGTGCGTATTCAAATCACATGACACAAGCGTCGTTTTATTGATCTACATCCACAGATTTGTTATAAGAGATTTTAAAGTCTAGGTCCTCCTTCACATTTCCATGATAAAAACAATGGCAGTTATATATATATATATATATATATATATATATATATATATATATATATATATATATATATATATATATATATATATATATAGTAATATATGTTTATAATGTTATTTAACATTTGCCAATTTTTGTTTTGACTAATTTGTGGTTAATTTACTTTTTATTTGTGAAATATTTTTAAACTGATGATTATTTTGCAACAGCTTTTTTGCAACAGGGGAGATTCATAGATTATAGTTCTTTGTAAAGAAATATCCCAGACTGCACTTAATTATATGAGAGTTGCGCCCGCCGTGTGCTCCTTGTCATGATAAAATTCCAAAATTCATTAAATTTATGTTTTATAGGTATTAACAATTATCTAAAAAGCGTTTTTGTATATTATATTACATGAAAATTGTATTAAATAATGTATTGACCATAGCTTTTGAGATGATGACTTTAAAGTTTTGTCTCATTTCTATTGTTATTCATATGCATACCAGTTTTCAACGACTTTGTTTTAGAAATTGTTCAACTTGGCCATTTTTGCGTATTTGCACAGAATGTGTATATATACCTTAAACTGATACATATCCAAAGGACAATGTTGGTCAAAAATTAAAGTCATCACGTTTATTATAAAAATTGGTTGTTAGAACCTTTAACGTCTTTTTCTACTAAAATATCCGGTATGAAACAGATGTGTCAACGATTGATCTTATAATCAACTTTCTCAGGATATATCTTCCACTGTTTGAAAACAATTACCACTGTTAATTGAAAATTTCATTGATATATCTAAATGTCCGTTGTGGCCACAGCAAGTGTTTTCCAACTTCAAACCATAAGATTTCGCACAAATTTTATTCATATGAATATAAAAATAGGTCTGCTAATTTAACTTCTAACTTTTCATACGCAGGGGTGTTTTCCAATAGAATGTTGGTATTGACAGTGTCATTAAAAGCACATGAAATTGGCTTATGTCAGAAACTCGCATCTCTTTATGTCAACTTCAGAGGAATTATGTGTGCAATCAGAACATTAGAACATTTAATAATTTTGCACCCTAAATTCAACACGATCTCTCTCTCTCTCTCTTTCCGATTTCAATTTTATTGAAAAAGCAACTGTCAATGATATCAAAAAGCCTGGACTTTAATTTACTGATGGGAATGGTTGTGTATAAAGTTGAAAAGTCGTAAGTTTTAAAGCTGTTAATTTTGGTAAAATCCAGTGATTTCAATTTGTTTTCTGTACTTTGAAATATGTATGACAAAAAAATCACACCAATATATTGTCAAAAGCATATGCTTGCAGTTTAATCCTTCATTAATTTAGCAATATATTGTAATGTTAGGAGTAAAATGGGTAGTTGAAAATGTTCCAAATGGAACCTACAGTGTATCTTTGTTTGTAAGAATTTTTATGAAGTTTCGAAATCCAATATATATATAGGGTAGTTGAACAATTTGTTTGTGTTATATACTTACTGCCATTTAATAAATGACAAATATCACTCAATATACATTGTCTTTGTTATACATGTATTTCAACTACAACGGTCGCCTGGCAAGATCACTAGGATTATATAAATACAAATCCATGCGGAAGTCTTTATTAGGATAGTTTCGGACAAGTCATGTCCACAGACTTATGAGCAGACGGGCAGATAGACGAAGAGAGGGACAAACGGGCTGCTGAAACCAATATACCCGTCCTAAACTTTGTTAGCGGGGTTCAATGTTATACTTTTTTTACTGCAAATCTCTATAAAAGTTCTTAAAATGAATCTAAGACATCAAGAAATAAGAGCGATAAAAATATTTTTCAGAATGTTATGTCTGCGACATATTAAAAAAAAAATTTAAAATGTCATATTTACATCAATAAATGCATAATTAATTAATTATATTGTAAAAAAAAGTTGTAAAGGTTTTCAATTACCAACTGGCATAGTTTCTGGTGTGTTAAAATTATTTCTTTTTCGATTCCACTGCAGGTCATATATTCTCGCTTATATTTCAATATTCTGCGATTATCGCTGGTTCGAATCTGAAATCCAGTGATAGCTTCCAATCCCTCTGCTCTCTACAGGCAACATGAAAATCGAAACATCAGTTATAAGCAACTCATAAGTATTTTAATTAGACTACATAAAGTGTTTTTGACTTTTGGAATTTATATACCATGAAAGCAATCTTCTGTATCACTCCGATCCCTTTGTCGGTAAACGCACTATGATACCATCTTCCATATGAATGAGGGATGCAACTACTTTTCATATCAAACTTCGCCGTTCCTTCTCCTCCCTCTAAATTAACTTGATACTGTAATGATGATCGACTACGACAATATAATTTCAAGCTTATTAAATATGGTCGCTCTGAAATTAAAAAAAGAGATTTATCTTTCTTTAGTACCATCGATTTATTACTCTATTCAAATATAGTCCTTTCATAAGATCGATCCAAAAATATATCAAATTTTAGGTAGAGAAGGTATCTAACACAGAAATCTACATGCATACACCACCTGACTCAGAAATTAATATACTAAAAGATTTTGAATAAATATGCCTCTTGATTTATTGCAGTTTTTTTTCGAGATTAAATGTTAATAAATTATCACGATGACCTTGCAACGAAAGACTAAAAACCATTTTTTAAGAAATTAAATGAGTTAAAGATCCGTACCTTCCCCTGGCTTTAAGAATACAGAAAAGTCTGTGAGATCTCTGCTTGCTACAAATCTGTAAAAAAAAAAAAAAGAATCAAAACTGGAAATCAATAATAAAAATAAAACCTTAACATTTTTTTTAAAGTAAAATTTAAACACCAGTATATGTATGAATACTTTTCGGCTCTATACCTGCGTTAAAATTTAGTCAAGGAGTTTAACGTTTTGGTTCGAAACCTTTGTTTACAAGTTGAAGGAGCGATTATCCATGTATATTTTTACCCTTCAAATTACAGATTTATAAACTTACTTTCTTCGATCTTTTCCGTCAAATGCTGTTTCAAGTTTACTCTCTGAAGCTTTAGTAACATCTTCAATGAACTGTCTGCCGATGAACATATCTTCTCCCTTTTATAGATTTGTTTTGTGATGTTACCTTTTTTACCGTAATATTCAAAAACATGCATATCCCAAAAATGAATTATTGAATTTGAAGAAAATGTCAAACCGACAATCTAACAAATATATCTAACCAGCTAGTGCGAAACTAAAACCTAATTATCTGATGGATACGAGACTTAACCTAATCGGTCAAAACAACTAACCTGGACATTTTTGTGTGAGAAACAGAAACCCTTACCATCCGAATAACATATAACTTTTTACCGTAACCTATGTGGTGGGTGTGAAATTAACACTTTTTCACGCTTGGTTTGGGAACAAAATGGCGAATTTTTTTTCATAAGGAATTTCAATGTGCATAATTTTCAGGTGTGTATGTCTCGGATTCCCAAGTTTCTTTAATTTGTCTAATTTTGATCATGATGTTGAAGATAATTGCCGTTCCGTTTATAAAAGATGAGGGGAAAATTAAGAAAATGTGAAATATTTGCAAAATCTTAAAATTGAATCAGTTTTTGTCCTGCCTTTAACCACGAATTTGTACTGACCTTGGTGGTACAGAATGGCATTCCTCTTATATTTAACATTATCAGACTGCTTAATATAATGATAATAAAAGATGTATTATTCTATGCCTTTAAAATAAACATTAATACATTATTTTGATGTCGTACAAATACATTAAAATAAATTGAAGTTTAAAATGATATTCAGATTTTGTTGTATTCCAAAAAAGATTTGTGAAAGTCGAGGTGCAGTTTTTAATTAAATCAATTTAACAACACTAACCTCCACCGAGGCGAGCTTGAAACTCTGGCCATACGCCAACGGAGTTCCCAGTGTAGTGGCATCACCTTCACTCGATTTGATTTGGAAAAGTCCGTCATAATTAGTAATGCTATCAACTGAGAGAGTTATGTTAAAAAATCATTTAATTTACTGTAAATAATATGATAGAAAATTTAAAAAAATTAATTCGCATACTTGACTAATATTAGGAAGTTTGTTAATGATAAAAAAGGATAAACACATGCAAGATACATGTAGATAAATCCTTATAGATAGTTAGAATCATAATTATACAAAATATTTTAAAAACTTTTATATGTTTACCTGGTACCAGGGGCTTGGTAACAACCCCGTGCAGATAGCCTGTAGAATTGGACAAGGCTAAAAATTTCCTTGTCTTTATATTTTCAAGAGTTATGAAATCACCAAACCTGATGAAAATATTGTATCAAGAGTTACAAAATCACAAAACCTGGTAAAAATAGCGAATCAATACTTAAAAATTCATCAAATATGGTAAAAATTTCGTATCAAAAGTTATAAAAACACCAAATCTGGTAAAAATATCGTATCAAAAGTTATAAAAACACCAAATCTGGTAAAAAATATCGTATCAAAAGTTATAAAATCATCAAACCTAAACTTGTATTGATCATAATATATGACACAATTATCAAAAATATGATACGATGCATTGATTTTATATTTAAGGTTAAAACTATTTCATTCAAAATAATTTTTCCTAATATATACCATTTTAAAAAAACATGTTTTTATTTTATTTATTTTCATTCTGCATAAAAGAAAACCAACATTTAGTTACTTTATAATATCGATGGTATAAGTGGCGTCACTGGCTTGTCGTTTACGTCGTGACCCCTGTGCTACGTAGGAATCGTCAGGTGGGTTACAAAGGGCGGGAGACACCGTCTGCTTACAATAGGCATATAACGCTTTACGTAAACACCGACGTCTCTCAAATAAACCTACAAAAAAAGCAGATATACTAAATGACAAATTCAGATTCTTTCATTTTTTTTCTTCAGAGTTATAATTATTTTGAAGGAAGTTATGAGTTTTCTAGAAGATTTAAAATTTCGTTTACGATTAAAAGCATAAAGCTAAAGCTTTGAAAAAAATTGGAAAAAAACTTATGCCAAAGTCATCAGCATCAAAACACACAAGGTTTCACATCGAAACGTATCAAACTATCACTATTCACCACCTAAAAAAACATTCTCAACGATAAATTAAGGGTTTTGGACATTAAAGTCAAACTGCTTCTTCAATTAAATATATACCTAAGAAAAAAACTATAAAATGTATCAAATTTTGTTCAATCTGATTCTCTGATTCTATATAATGTTGACATTAAAAATCTTCTTGAATTCCGCAATGACAAGAGAGTGGATATAAAGATTATTTTTAAAACCAACAGCATTCTGATTTTCCTTCGTTATAAGATTGTTTTTGAATTTATATTAATCAAAACAAAGTCTAGTATTTAAAAACCCCACATAAAATAAGGGATATCTAGCTTTAAATTTGTTTTTTTTTTAATTTGACACAAAGAATCATCGATCACTTTTCATCAATTAAATATACTCCTTTTCATTTCTACATTGATGCGACTGAACTCTTAATTATTGCGACTACAATGTCTTACACATCTGTTTTTTTTTATATTTGGATGTGATACATGTATTATTATAGTAAAACATTGATTCCAAACTAATAAGTGAATTCTTTAATAAATATAATAAATTCAATTTAATTTGTCAGCATGATCTGAATACGTTCAATTTTGTTTTTTTTGCTAATACGTTTCATTTTTTTAATTATAATAATATATTTACAAACTGCAAAAATTATTTTCAATAAAGAAATAATTTTATGTTTAATCTGAAGAAAACAATAAACGAATTAAATATCCATACATACCATACGTGATGTCATTAAAGTAACCAGGTTTTAACAGCGTATCTATAGACGTCATCTTATACTGAATTGGCACTGGTTTCTCGTCGGCAGATCTTGCCCATTCTCTGAGACTTTCAGTACTGCCTTCTGAGAAATCACCAGCAGGAGGGTTGCCACCGATATAGTACTCATACTGTTCTTTGCTGGTCTTACTCACACGTTGTTTGGCATCGCTTTTGGAATCAACACCGACACTAAAGCCCCCGCCACCCGAAAATCCGAAACCGTCGTATGAGGCCTGAGCAGCAACCTGAGATTCAGATCGGGTTCTTTTACAAGTATGGTAAATATTTACGTTTAAAATAATATACTAGTACATTCAAGAATAATATTTAATTGATGTTGGCAGGGGATTCTAATTTCTTAATGGCACCTGATCCCAACTCTGATGTTTTAGAGGTCCGTATCTGCTCCTGATTTCTATTGTTTAAATGGACTAATGTTTATTATCTCCGTAATTCATGCTGTTCTCTGAAGTCGACATATTTTTCTATTTCAGACATGCCAAAAATTCCATCATGAATAAATGCTTCTGGTACTAATATAGTGGGTTGAATTTAAACTAACGATGGGTCTTGTAAAGCTATTCAAAACTATTTGAATTTAATATTAAGTCAACCAAACTAATATTTTAGCAATGACTTCTAAACAGGATTGACTATTTATCTTTAATGATTTTTATAGCATAAATTGAACCATAAAGACGCTTTCATTTCTCTTAAATGACCTTAAAGTAAGGACTTATTTAAAGGTTTTAGAATTATATACATGTATATGACAAGTAGTAGTAACTACAATTAGTATACTAAATTATTCATATTCTTCTTAAAATGAGGTTTTGAATACTTGTGAAGGTATACTTATTTCAAAACTAGAGTCCATAAATGAAATCTTTAAAGCAATTTCCAAACAGTTCAAGTTTTTAACCTTGGCAGATATCCCTTCCGATTCCAGTTTTGACAGATCAGAATTGGAGAAGGTTAGTTGTTGTACTGCCTTAGCCCCCATGACCACCTGGGTGGTGTAATGGGTTCCAAACTCCCGGATAAAGTTGACATACATCTCTTGTAGTGAATCATCTTCACAGTTCTCCATTGGAAGAAGCATTACGGCTTTTTCAAAGTAATCAGTTACCTGAAATATGAAGAAGTCATTGCTAAGCCTGAGCAGATCCACGAAATTAAATGTTCATTGGATTGAGAAATGTGTTATTCATTTGTAAAGAAGATGCTTTCGTCCACGAAATTACATATCCTCAAAAACGTCTGTTTTACAAAAATACACGAAAAGTGATGGAAACGAAAATTGAGGAAATCGGTAGTTTTTAAAATTTGCTTGTAAAAATTTACACTAGAAATTTTCTAAATCATAGATGCGTTGAATCGTACAAAGTGATACAGTTATAGCTATAGGCTACAATGTAAGAAGCAAGCATTTTTGCGTTCTTGTATGATTAACTAAGACCAGAACTATCTTTTACTGAGGATGTGTTTCAAATATCTAGAGAGAGAAATATTAAATATCAGATTTCGTTTAAGTTGACAAATTTTAGTGGGAAAATAGTGTCGAACAATCAAAAAAGTGACACTATATTTCACTTGTAAAAGTTTCAAAATAACAGAAATGTAAGTCGTAGCATTTCAAGTATTGTGCGTAATAAACCAAAAAAAAAAAAAATAAATAAAAAGCAATTAAAAATGTTTTACTTTGCTGAAATAAAAGATGTTGAAAAAGAGAAAAAAAAAATTAATTTCAAAATCAGATCAGCATTTCCTCAATCTCCATTTCAACAACCTGGATATAAAATATTTTTGTTAAACTTATTGTTAGTTACATTTTTTGAACAAATTTATAAATGTATATTACAAGTTATGTTATAAAAAACAAAACTAGAATATGTATATAAAACAAACACCATTTGTTCTCTACCTTAGAAATTTTGGATGTCTCTGACATCCGGGCTCTATATACGACAGCTCGGCTTACGATGCTTAAGGTGGTTGTCTCTCCTTTTTGAATTTGTTGCGTATTTTTTTGATAAGATGCACTGGCACTAAAACTGGCACTGACTCCCCATCCACTACCTTGAGCGTTAACCTTTAAAAATATGCATATCTTTAGCAAACATACATTCTCAAATCAAAGCAAACAGTAATTACAGTATCCATTATAAAAGATTCAATGTAAAATATACATTTTTATGTGTAAAAAACGGATTGAATAATAATCAGAACGAAATGATATGGTGGGACATTAGTGTCTAATTACCAATATCAAGTTTTATAAATTCATGTTATTACAAGTTTACGAAAAATTTATTTTTTTTTAATACTTTTTTGCTCAATCGATGTTCAAAAACATTATTATATGAAACATATATACACCAACAGTACCAAAATTTTTATATACCATTGTATTTAACATATTATATAATAAAATACAATATGATATAACTAATAATAATTAGTAATTTATAATAATATAATTAATGAATTTTGTGTTTAAATCGTCATTGCACTTTCTTTGGTGAAATTTTAACCTAGGGGTAAGCCTTACGTTTTGTAAGAGGAAGAACAAGATCTGATTCTGGTTCTCGGCAGGGCAAAATACCTAAGAAGTTAGGATGAGTACTAACTGTTCTTTTGCCAAGAGACTTTGAAAGACGAGGGCGTTGGCATACTAGCATTTAGAAATTAATTTTACTGCTCAATGACTCTGAATGCCTAGTAAAGGTCTATATCTATAGTCCTTCACGACTATGGTGACGAATCCTTTAGAGAAAGAATAGGAAGGGACTTAAAACAAGAATTAAAAAAAACAATCAATGCTATCGTGAAACCTCGCTGTTCAGAAGATTTTGTTCTTAAGTGAATCATTTGCACCATTTCATGTTTCAAATTGCATGAAAAGAATTACAGAATAAATGATTAGAGCATACCGAAGCATCGACACTCAGCATACTTTTGTAGTCCGACTCCGACTGCACCTTATACAAAGAGGATCCAAACTTGGCACTAAAAACATAAAAGGCTTTAAAATTAGTATGTACAAAGAGGTATTATTCGTAGAAATGCATGCACGAAATTCTACAATATAATGATTATGGCAAACATCAGTATAAACATTTACAAACACATTCATAAAAAATAAAACATCTTTATTTTTCTTAATTTGCTAGTGTCTCCAATGTTCCAAAAAATCGAATTACACTTGACTCTTTCTTAGTGTTCTTGAAAAGGCCAATGAGGTCCAATTTTTGATTCCTCGACACCAGAATTTAGGCAAGGAGTTGTGATTATGGATATTGCAAATCATAGCCTTTTTAAACCATAAAGTTTTACTAAAGAAAATGCAGTCAAAACCATCCGTCTTTTCCTTAAACTTTAATATGCCAATAAAGGAATTAATGCGGTTAATGTAAGTAATAATCTTAATCACAAAAGGTCCAGTCTGGTATTCCACCATATTTCAAGTTAAAGACTACACCTTGTATTTCCTACAAATATGCATTGATCATTGCTTCCAAACTTTTCAATTACAAAAAAAACTTTACATGGCCTGGATATCGAGTGTCTAAAACAGAATCCTCCATCGTGTTAATTCCGTACCTGGATTCAGCAATGACATCGACATTGTCTGGGACTCGGTAATTTCCGTCCGCGGTGAACTTGCTGGAATACGGTAAATTAATTACTGGGAGGCGAAATCCTTGATCCACAACCCCGTCGTCGCTGAGAGGATTGCCTTTGAACAAATCGTATCCTCGGCCTATGTATCCCAAATTGTAACGGGATTCCGTGGCAATAAAAGGAGTCTGGGCTTCGTTGGTGCCTCTTAAAGCTAATAAAAATGATGTTAGAAGAGAAAACAATAATTTTCTGATGTAGACAGATAAACTGAAAAAAAAATGTATACATTTATTTAAATAAACACAATATAACAAGACCTTTTGCTTCTCTTTCTTCTGCCTCCTGTATTTCCATTGCCGCCATCTTCTCGGGGAGTCTAGCGTGTAGACTAGCATTCATCATGCTTGTAGAAAGTTGTAACTGCTGGTACCGAAATCCGCTCACCATTTCATCCAAAGACACTGAAAATTATAATCATGTAACACTATTTTATTTAATTATTTAACCTCTGAAGACTTTCAAAAGTAACTTTGTGCAATAAGAAAGCTACACATACTAGTAAGCAATTCGATAAAAATGCTTTTATACATGTATAATATTATATCTAAGCTCTTCTAAAATGTATAACTCTGAGTATACTTCAGACCGTAAACCTGTATTTCATTTACCGGTGTACATGTATTTTATTTACTGATTTTAGCGGATAGCGGAGTCCGATAAAACAAGTACATTGCATTTGTTTTGCATTTATACACTTATATCCAGCACATTTACATAGCGCTTAATCAAATCTACACTAAGTTCTTGAAAAATAAATTTCCGCCGATTATCGTAGACGCCAAATATAATACATTTACAGTATTAAATAAATAATTAATATAACACATATATACGCATATATACTCGTGTTTCATGAACATTTTTATCTGATCCTTATAAAGAAAAACAAGGGAAAATATCTCTTTATAAACTCAGGGTTTTTTTTTTTTACAACTCAATAATAAAAATGCAAATAATTAATAGAGTAACAAATGAAAATAACATTACTACTTCTGAACTTTTTTTTTGTTAATTACTCTTTGATTTACACAGACAAAAAACTCAAAAACTTGGAGCATCTTTATAAGTTTGGAAGGAACAAAGATAGAATTCGGTATGATTAAAAAAATAAATCCAGTAACTGTTCAACGTTTTTAAGACGGATTGCATTTCAACATCAATTAATGTTTTAATACATGATTTATTATGACAGCTATTTCTTTAAACTTTATTCCCTCTCTTTGTTTATATATATTTCCTTTGAAATACGTAGATTTCTTGCAGAATTTAATACATTTCTTACAGAATTTCAATACTTCTTAGAACAAACAGAAATTTCATTTTTAACAAATTGTTGTATTATTTCATTGCAAAAGACGTATAGCTTAATGGTAAAATATTTAGAATGGAAGTCATGATTTCTATAGATACTAAATAACTCAGGAAATATGCATGCATAAAGCCCACATCCGAACCATCACTTATTTCACTTTATTTATTTTTATAGATCCCATTCTTCCTGGACGTAAATAATCGTATCATCAATTTCCGTATTTGTTGCATTTTTGAAAATTGATCTAGATTTACTATCAAGTACTTGAAGTACTTGGTGGCTCGAACCGTGCTCTAAAGTCCTAGCTAAAAACCTTTCGTTGGTTAGACCCAAAGAAAGTGTGCTACATAAAAATAATATCTTTTTATATTTAAGTTACTTCATATAAAGAAAAAAAAAACAAGAAATAAAAGACCAAAAAAGAAGGGCGTAAGAAAATCTAGATATTTACAAAATGTTCAAACGAAGTATATAAGCCAACACATGGGAATTCATTGCGTCATTTTGATTTAATTGAAATGAAAACGATGATGAAAAACAAGAAAAATAATAATGAAAAGTTGATGGAAATAAAACATCTGACGATAAAAATTTGACACAATTACAGAAAAACATTATATTTTCAGAAATTTTTCTTCTTAAAAGTAATATCCTTTATTTGGAAAAAAAAAAGTTGATGGAAATTCAATCTAAAATCAATCTGATACATGACAAATATTTTTTTGTTATCAAAAGAATATTATTTCCATACTAAAACTTACTACTGTAAAACGGGAAAATTTGGCGCATACGTATTTTTGTGCAAGTGGGAATGCATTGGCGCAAAGAAATTTTAGCACTTGCACGTGTCATTAAATTATTAAAATGTGATATTATTTTCTTTTATCCACACCCGTATTTGACGTTTTGGTTAGTCAAGCAGCATCCTTTCATTACCTTTACCGCAGTACGATCACATGGACGTAGTACAAAATTAAAAGACCCGCCGAAATATGGCTGAAATATTGCCGCCTCGGCGTTAAACAATATAAATCAATTAAAAGAAATGGTGTATTTACTTCTTTGAATCACATTAAATCAATGCATGCATCAACGGAAAATTACTTGGATAAAACGGTTACATTTATTTTCTGCAAACTCAATCGCCATATTTTTTTTTTACCTTGAGGCGATGTTATCACGACGAGAAGCCAAACTTTGAAGGTGCCAATGTTAATAATCGGGTAACAACTACCGGGGTAACAAGAGTTTAATTAAAATATAATTTGACAGAATTTTCTGTTTTCCAAACATGTGAAGTGCTAGTGTTTATATAAAATCCTATGACCCTTTGACATTACATAATCGCGCGCTCCGGTTTACATGTACTTATGTAAAAGCTTTGAACACACATAAAAAATGATATGCAAAAATCCTTTAGCGCACAATAAATTTTAGCGATCAGGGGCTCTTGCACCAAAGGCGCCAAAATTGGTAGTGCGCCAAATATTCTTGTTTTACAATATTTAATTTCACAGACTAGTTCAAATTTCAAGCGAAACTGGGTCAAATATAATTAATTATATACAAAGCTTTCAAATTGACTCATGTACTTGTAAAACAATGTCGGTCCTCCAAGGCTGTATGTGGGAGAAGAGAAAGAGTGACGCACTGCATGGCCGGAATTTTATTATTTTTTTTCGATGTTGATTGGTCATTTCTGCCTCTCCTAAGACATGAAACTTAACATTCATTGTAATACACCACTAAACGATATTTCTGATTAAACATTCGAGGAGGACATTAATTGATTGCAATAAAAAATTAAGTGACCTTAAATGTATTTATACCGATACGAATGTCATAGATATTGAAAGAAACATAGCCCTTTTGTTATTACATTGAAATATTAATAGTTTCGAGTTAAAAGAAGTTAAAAGTAAAACTTTTTTTTTTGCAGTAACTTCATTTTATTTAAAGTTTAAAGACACATGCATGCGGTTTACCGTTTTTATGGTATAAAACTATCCTTATAAAATGTTGAATAACCCTAGACAAGCACGAATTGAAGAAAAAAAAATGGTAAAGAATTCAAGATTAATTAAGCAACTTAAAATGAAAACAGCTAGTTATTACCTACTCATGCAATTGATTGACGTACTTAAATTTTATTCAGCGTCACACACAGTTTTTTTATGACATATATGGCTAGATATCTGATCAATGTGCGACAATAATTAACCAATGTGTGTAAAACTTATGAGGAAGAACACCATTAACAATTAACAAATGATTGCTTTAAACAATTCATAAACGATTGCTTTCAATATCTAATGACAATCTAAATTTATCAAGTTTCAAACAGCTTACATGCATATGTATGTACATAAATATTAGATATAATTATATAACAAGAAGCAAACTTACGAGATTGATAACTAACGTTCACTGCCTGCAAGTAAGCAACATCAAAAGTATTAATCCAAACTAAGAAATGAAGCGTTAATTGAAACTGAGTCATTGTCTCTGATTTTCACCTCCCTGCAAAGGTTTACTGAGAGCATTTCCTGATACATTAATATTTATAAATCATAGACATCGGATGAAGGAAGATGATTTTTCGGGGTATTTTTATAAAAATTTACCAAATAAGTAGAAAATGAAACAGCGTTAACAATTTAACGCGTTAATAAATCCCGTTTTGGCCTTCTGGAAGAGAAACTAAGATTTACAAAGAAAAAAAGAAAAAGGAGGAGAATCCAAATGATAGAAGTAACCTGATTATTGAAAACTGAAACAATATATAACATTAATGAGAACAATGCTTAATTGTTTAACCATTTATAAATACATTTATAAGAAATGTATAAACATTTGTTATGCAGGTGTGGTTGGTCGGCAGGAGATGCTCACTCTTCCATGACACTGGATCCCTTAAATGTTTCTGGAGGTCCTTTTTTGCTCAGTTCCTGATTTGCATTGTTTAAATGAACTTTTAACTTGAATACTTTCGTTATCTACATATTTCATTTATACATTTAATCACATAGAGACTAAAATATTTTTTATATACTAGTAGTTACTTAAACGATAAGAATAGGTCTTTCAAAGCACATTTTTGGATTAGGCAGCAAACGGCAAATGAATCATCCTAACCTCGACCCCTTCCCTTCACATGTTTGACAACATTTGTGAAGTTTTCAATTCCTTCTGGAATGTTTTTTCTCTCGTAAGGGGTAGGTTAAAGAGGAGGAGGGATACAAAAAAGTATCATTTTGATTATCAGATATTTTACTCTAAAAATATTGAGAGAAATTTTTAAGAACTTTTACTAATTTGCTATTTTCATCTCAGATAGCTTAAGTGCGACTTTAACATTGAAAGGTGCATAAACATAAAAATACTTGATTGTTTATATTCTCTCCCGGCCCCTCCACCTTAAAACATCTATACGCTCAGGTGCCATTTAAAAGAAATGCAATTTAAGTTTATACCGTGATTCAATTAACAAGGAAGTAGATGAAATGTATTAAGCTAAGATAAAATTCAAATACAAATCAGGAGCAGATTAAAGACGGACCTTTAAGACATCAGACGTGGAATCAGTTGCCACGGAAGAGTAAACATCCGCTACTGACCGGCCACAACCGCCATACGCTCACCGTCGAATCGCCATGTGCTCACTGTCAAGATCGGGAAATTACGAAAAATATCCGCCGACAGCCTGCATTGTAAATAACGGTTCAACAGAAATATATACGAGCAAGAAAAAAAAAACTCATTTTATTTAATAGATTTTCAATGTTTAATATCTAAATTAGAAATTAACCGAAAATCATAACCTTAACATAAAAGATTGTTCAATTTATCTCATAAAAGAGATCTTAAAATGTTTTTTCTTAAGATATAGTTAATTGCCAACTGAAAAAGGGATCTTAACATGCAACACAGTATCCAATAAATGTACAAGTATGATTTAAATTAATACAATAAAGAAAATGTAAAATAAATCATATACTTTTCAAAATTTTAATAAGTGTTTCAGTTCCACCCGATTTATATTTCCTCAACAAATGCAAATTTTCAGTTTTAATTTTTTCCACAGTTCATTCTTCCTCGTACATCCCTTTCCTGGTCATAGAATCAAAGCTTACTACTCCGTATGATTACAACACAACAAAACTGAGAAATTTAATAATTATTGACGACCTATTATAATTCTTTTTTTTTTTTTCAGAATGAAAATTAGGAATCTGTATTTAAATCTGAGACGCTGTATTGTGGATCAGGCATTGGCATTTTAGGTTCGATCATGTATTGTGGTGGATGTTGACTGGCACATTGCAAAGACGAACTTCTGGTGTAGCTCATTGGATGCTCTCCAAAACCTTCAAAGCCAATACAAGGCTGGAAGTTTACCATAGGTCCTACGGAAGCTGAACGAGGGACGGTTATAGAATCCACAAGGGGGTACGGGGGAGTTGGATAAGGGGGTAAAGACGTCTCTCTTTGTAAGTGTGGATTACTTAATGTTTCAGTTGTTTCTGTCACATTGGATTGACGCTGTAACACGCCTCTCGGTGAAACCAAAATACCCTGATTTACATGTGTTATGAAATTCGCTTCCGGAATATTTGTTCCTGGAAATATAACATGCCATTTTTAATGACTCTGCCGAAAGATACATCTGAAGTATATACATTAGGTTACTGTGGGTTTTTGTTATCAGATAACAAAAAGGTCATCCGATTTGTATATTTATTATTCAATATCTAAATAAATTAAAAGTAAGATTGACAGCTCTGTGTTCTCTAGAATTTTTTATACATATATATATTTCAAAAGGGATTAAATTTTTTTTTTACTTATTATACCTTTCTTTATGTTTTCGCCATTACTTGGAAGGCTGACAACATCTTTTGCAACATTCACCGAATCACTATCTCTCACAGATTCACTATTCTCTGTTACTGTTAGTGACGATATTTCAACAGTTTTCTCATATTCGACGAAATCTGAATCGCTGATGTTATCCGATGTTTCAATGAAATCTGATGATATATCAACACTTTCTTCCTTATACTGTGACTTCTGTCTCACTCTTACATGTTCAGATGACAAATGTTCTCTGTTATAATTATCTTTTCCATTGTCTGCTGTTAATGATGTACTGGTGGGAAGTACTTTCACTTTCACTTTTGTGTCGTTGTTATACACATTATCTGGCTTTTTCAGCCCCTATAAATTGATAAATTGCAACAAATAATATCAATGCTTATTGTAAATTTGAGTGATAAATATAAAAACAGTAGACTAATAAATTTCATTGAATTATATTTTTATCAAGAGACTTGCAAGGAATTCCGAATCACTGGACGTAAAGTTTTCAATAACAGTAATGTAGATATGTTTAAATTTAAACATGCTTATTATACATGTATGTGCTAATAAGATAGCTTAAACAATTAGCAGATAGAAATAACAAATATATGTTGGCCCAATTTCATTCTTTCATGTAAACTTGAAAAAAATACATAATACTCCAATTTTATTTTGAATTTCAGATGGAACATTTTGGTAAACTGTTTACTCCCTTAAGATATCAAATTTAGGTATATCATCTCATTTAATTGCATCTAATCGTAATTACATCTTGATCGAGGTTAACAAAAAATAGCGTAAATGAAAACAAAACATAAGAAAATTGAATTTGTTATGATTTTGCTTCTCTAAGTAAATTCTCGACCTCTGAAAATGATTGTAGATAGCAAAATAAATAGTTTAATTACCCTGGAAGGTTTTTCAGAAGGGACATCTTGAATTTGAAACCTTTTGAGTTTTTCCTTAAAAGATAAACACTCTGGATTCTCCTCTTTTTGGTTGTCCATTGAATATATATGTGCTTGCAAGAAAGATAAAACAATGAATATTTTTATTATATTTCAAAAGAACTTTCTAATGTATTCTTTTCTCTGTATAATTCCACTTAACAATAAAAAAATAAATAAATAAATAATTAAGAGACTAATCGCCCCTGTCGGGTTGTACTATCATGCATGTTTGCTTCATCTTAGATACTGAACGCATCTTACAGTTCTTTTGAGGACTTTATAATTATTGTTATATTTAGACAACTTGCCTTCTATAAGCACAAGAGCATTAAGAAGAAGGCACATGTAGCCTAAACGGTTAAATAAATTTCAATGAACGAGAAAGTGAGCAAGCTCACAAACCCCACGCTCCCCCAAAACTATAAGTGTTGAAATTACTGGGAAAATTTAAGGAATCCCAATTTCCTGGCAATATGCACATCTACATATCGTGTCCTAAATATCTGCAAAGTTTGATCAAAATTTTGATGGCAAATTGCAATCAATTTGTTTTATTCGGACCAACTTGTCTGAAGATGGAAAAAGTGACTTTACGTCTTGGTTGACGGTTCTTGCATGCATCTTTACAATTTCATGTCCATAAGTATAGATATTTCATGTGTGATGACCAGTCTTACCCTATATCAAAGAGTCTGAATTAATTCATTATTTGCTCAAGAGTTTTGTATCAACATTTATAACGCCGTCTGCTTGGAAGTTAAAGTCAATCAAAAAATTATAAAAAGAATGCAAAGAACTTGTCATGTTGTTTAATTTGGGCAAATGTTTTGGAACAAAATTTTTAATTCTTGATAGAATTATTTGTATTTTACTTTGTATTAATTGTATTTTTACATTATTCTAAATTCAAATAACATGCACTTGTTTAGATTACAAAACTTTATGAACTTTTGTGTTTCAGGCAAAGCGAAATAACTGATTATATTTACGTAAAGCATTTAAGCTTGGGGGATATCATAATAATGAAGTGTTCCTTTATTAACTTTACTTAATTATGCAATTGCGTGTTTATATACGTATGTAGCTTCAGAGGTGGCCTTCAAACGATTTAACTCAAGAAGCGTACAAAATAATTTGAGAAAGAGCGATTCGTATTAAAGTCAAAGGCATTTTTTTTATAAATAGGACATTTGTAAAAGAAGTAGGACCGTAATCAAGGGGAGGTCATGACTATTTCTGATTATCAAAACAAAAATACATTTTCCTTTATATTTTACTTGGTCCCTCGTGGCGAGGAAAAGCGACATGATAAGGTTTCATGTTGGATTCTTTGAGAATCAAATAAAATGATTAAATGTAAGATAGAATTTTAGATATCTATAACTTGACTTGTACTATATCAGTGAGAAAATATCGATTAAAACGTTCAAGTTAAACTGAAAGTAGGCCATCAAAATAACCTTAACGACACTTATAAAAAAATTAAACCTTAGTTTAGACATGGTTTACACTTTATAAAATCTGTTTTCAAGTCGTCTCAATTAACAAACTTAAAAAAGCACGTATTTATCAGAAATAATAATCAAAAATGGTATGAACTTACCAACTAGATTCCCTCCATTTAGGTCACGGTTAAAAAACACGCACAATCGGCGTTGTTTATCAAAGGCCCAAAGGGCAACACTACCGGGAGATGACAAACATACATGTACACCTTAAGTGATTCATGATGACAAAAGACTACACTGAAGCGATTTACAAGGTTTTTTTTTAACTTTCAGTAATTTTTCACAAATTACGTTACATAATTAAGTAAATCAAACAACAGTCCCTTGATTTCGTTTGACTTATTAAATTGTTTATTAATTTCATTTGAAAAAAAAATTGAATTTACATTCATTAAAGGTTTAGAATAAATTCTTTTGTACGATAAAATTATACTATTTATATAATTTTTGGAAGGATGTCATTTTTGTCCTTATTGCCATTTGAGTTGTCGCTCTTCCTCCGAAAGAACACGAATTTTACACATGATTTACCATGTTTTTTAACATTATCTTAGTAACAGTTTTACTAAAAGTCTCATATTTTTAAGACTGTACTTCCTCATTAACTATAAATCGGTAATGGGAGCATAGTGGTAGGGCGTCATGATCAATTTGTGATATCCGAGTTTAATTAATTGCCCCACGCCAATCTTAAATGAAGAATAATTAAAAAATCCAAAAAATAATGATCCATAAAAAACACTGTATTTTGAAATAATGTTCAATAACGTTCTTGAACTGTTCTGATCTTTCTTACCCATTTGATTCACTTTAAAAATCCATTAGAAGATGGTAAAGGTTATAAACTTCTTTTACCAGAAAAATTGTGAAACGTATCAAAAATCAGTGAAATAATGTTAGATTTACGCTAAATTTAATTTCGTGTAAAAGAAAGAAAAACAGTAGTCCCTTGGGAAAAAAAAAGTTGTGTTTTGTTAACACTATAAGAGTTATACTCTATCTCGTATTTTTCTTTTTAAATCCAACAAAGATTCTGATCTCAGGATCATAAAACAGTTACAGAAGTCAACATCTGTACATTTTCTTTTAATCGTATTAGAGAAAACATTTAAAAATTAAAAGGGTATTAAAATTGTTTCCCCTCCATGCTACTTTAAATAATAAGTACCGGTAGTGTCTATTTTTATGAATACGAAAAATTTTGATTTCAGTTTGATACTTTTTCATCATCTTTGGGGCTAGGAGGATTAATTAACGATTGTGTGAATATATGAAAAATCAATCAAATGTCATGCACTTTAAATGATATCAATTAAGTTATCATTCTAAAAGATCACATTTGAAAGAACTTTTATCTTCAATCTTAATTGCACCATGCTCCAATGGGTGAAATTAAAATTTATGAATGTCAATTTTATTTAAATTTTTTGGGAGTAAATGTACAGGTATGACTTCGCTTTTTTGCAAAGGGTCTTTGTGTACAGTGTTTATTAATATATTAAAGATGTTCTTTAAAATACAAACGTATATTTAAATGTTCATGCTCACCATCCGCTAATTTGCAATGTCGTGCATAGTCATATAATTATATGGTATACACATTGCTTTCGCTTGCTCTAGTTTTGCATGACATTTTCTATGTCGAAAACTTTGATGTAGTTCTAGGAATGTAAAAGAGCATATTTGTCATCATTCGATATAGTCTTAAGTACAGATGATACAAAAAAAAAAGGATGCTTGAATAAGTATTAATTTTTTACTTAATTTCATTGCAAATGATGCAAATAATAAATTTCTAGAATATGAAGAAATTGTAAACCCTCTGTGATGTCTTTAATTTTACCCTTCTGAAACCATCTTTATTATTTTATACAAATATTTTTCACTTCAAATTCCTTTTTTATGCAACTTTAAATAAAAAAACCGAAAAATACGCGGTGAAACCTATCCATTTTATTCATTAAAACATGACCCAAGTTGTTATTTTTAAAACTTTCGATAAAAGTTTGTTTGTATCATCTGTCCTTTACGTTAAGTAAACTTTATGTACAGACGTGCTTTGATGGCATTGAATATGGTGAAAATGCTTGATACAACATTCCAATGTTTATTTTCATCAAGACTGGCTAAAATTTATTTCGTATTTTTTCGCACGACGTATTGTCAATTAACAATGACATTTTTTCATTCTTATATCGATACGATATATCCTAATGAGCTTGAGATAAAAGATATCACAGGGTCTGGACACATCTGTTTCATATTTGGGTATTTTACAAGTTTGAAAAAGACATTAAAGGTAATCTAGCAACCATGATAAATGTGATGACTTTCTATCGTCATCTTCCCTTACATATGCCGCAATATACCTTCATCACCTGCATACGGAGTTTATATATCTCAGTTGATTCGCAAATAATCAAACAGTTATTGGCAAACAAGTTAATGAAACAAGAAGATCAGCAGTCTCGTTTAAAGTCATAAATTTGTAAATTCTTTGGTCGATACAATGACATTGCCATCAAATACAGTTTATCATTGAGTAGAATCCTGACTCACGTTTTTCACACTAATTTTGTCCATTATTTATAAATTGAATTGACCACGGATTTTTCCGATATTTCCCGATCATGACAAAGTGCACCCGGTGAATGTGACCGGTCGGTTGGGTGATGTTTAGGAGAATCGTGTTTTCTCTGTTCCTATTTTGTATAGTCTTATGGACTTTTGATCTTGAATATTGTATGTTATCTCCTTATGTTTTATCTATAACATGCATATGGGATTCCTTAAATATACAGCTAGCTAGATATTACAATTGTATATTTAACTATTGAAGTAATTTTTTAAAAAATGATATCTTCTCAATGCCTTTGCATTGACCCTGGCAAATTTATATAAACATGAAATGTCATGCAAATCAACAGAAATGTGAAATTTGAACATAAAAATGAATGTTAATTCCACTATGATTTGGTTAATTTTTTCATCCTTAATTATGTAGTTCTACCTCAAAATGCAAGATATTTAATTAATACTATAGATGCTGTCAACTTGCAATATACTAGTACTTATGTCGATATATGCAAATATAACATGAAAGTGTCAACAAGCAACAAAATTTTGCTAGCATATAAAAGATAAAACTTAGGGAAAATATTGTATATGAAATACATGTACCGCCCACATTATGTCATACATGTACAGTATACGACATGCAACGTAATTATGTTGAAATGCAAAACTTTATTACAGATTCTATGTATTACATTGTGTTATATTCATGCATACCAAATGCATGTATACACATACATGTATCCCATTTGAAATAAAAAGAGACCACAGAGTCTGACACACCTGTTTCACATTTTGATGTTTTACAGGCTATACAACTATAGTTACTAAAGGTAAAGTATCTAATAATGTTCCGCTATCGCCTGCACACTGTGTTTACATATCCCAACGTGTTTGCTACTCAAAAACATGCTATGAATACGATCAACTTTTATATTGAGACAGACTAATCATTTATAAATTGATGTTACAGGAACTTCAACAACCTAGATTATATATTTTGTCGCTGCACTAAATAAAGAATTTTCATATTAAAAAATTCTAGAACAATCTACCATACCCTCTTTCATATAGGACCGAGTTTAAAATGTTTGCTTGCTCTCTCCCGACTCAGGGTAAAATAATGGGGTATGCACGTGTAAGAATCTTTTTCCAGAAAATGTTAACACATTTGTGGACTTGATAAAAGAAATGAAAAGAAAAAAAGATCGTGTCCTGGAACGAAAAAAAGTTTATAGACGGGCCATTTTTAGTCAGTCGTTTGGGAGAGGGCACCTAAACATTTTTTTCAAATATGGCCTTGTTAGTCTGTATCTAAACCCGTGAATTAGTAATTGTATAGAGATCGACTGACTATTCAAAGTCAGTATACTGTATCAGTGTTTTAGGTATTGACAATAAAGTGTCTAGATCATATTATGCATATGCTGTTGATAACAAATCGTTTATTCCTACAAAAAGGATGAAGTTAAAGGCACCAACAAAGAAAAAAAAACACTACATTATAAATGAATCATTTAACCATCCATAATCGAAAATCCTATAGTAAACTATAGCTTTGTTAAAGGAACAGGATTTCATTACAGAAAATCAATGTTAATCAATATCCTTGAGATATGTTGAGTAAATGGAAGTGAAAATTATTTCTTTTGATAGTAAAACAATGTTTTTAAATTATTAACCAAAGAATCATAGTGATCAGCATGGTAAAGTTATCAATCTATCAAGAAGTTAATCAAATGTAAAAGCTGAAGATATCGATCAGTGATCGACCTCCAAAATCAATAAACAATACAAACCTGTGAAAGTGGAACAAGCACGAACACCTGGAAACGCTATAGGTGGGATCAGGTGTCAAGAAGGAGTAAACATCCCGTGCGGACCGGTCACACTCGGTACGAGCACTAGGAATTGATCAAGAATACCTTGTGTAGCCTAGTTTAGAATAGGTTCTAACATTTAGTGTAAAATAAGTCAGCCAAAATGTGACAAACCAATGTTAGGCTTTAGCTGCTATCAAGCTCATCATAAAACCCAAAGAAATCAAAAAATGCGGCGTATTTAAACGTTGGTTAAAAATCTCTGAAAAACCAATTATCAGTGAGAAGCATGCTGCATCGTTTTGAAAATTGACCGTAGCTCAAAGCAAGCTCTTTTTAAGAAGGAATTAGCTGGGAGACTGAAAAAAAATCAGCATAAAAGCTCAATACAATATAGTTTTTAGTTGGCATTATTTCTGTATAGTCAGAAAAACACCCAGATATGAAACGAATGACATTGTGGTGTCTTTTTATTTCAAGTACACTGGGATACATGTATAATGAGTCAACATATGATTGAAAATAACTTGTTAAATACACATGATAAAATATCGTCGATTTATCTGATTGTCAAACTTAAAGGCAGAGCTAGTGTTTTCCTATTCGTATATATAAACATTTTTTTTAAAATCTGCTTCATATGAATATAAATAAAGAAGCCCAGTTAATAAATGAGCGCAATTATAACATACTGTATACAGGTTTATTTTTGCCCCGTGTTATTTTCAACCTTTTACACTTGCTT